TGTTTCCAAAGCGTGGTAAGCAAAGCACTCTCTTTGCCAGGTTTATGACAAGTGAAGAAAGGAGCAGGGCTGCATTGAAATCCGTGTGGTAGGAGCCCCATTCATGTAAGAGGCTCCATTCAGGGCCTTACAAAGGGTATGAGTCAACTGCAAAGAAAGGAGGCATTTCACAGAAACTGAAGTGTGACCCTTTGTTTTTCCTGACCCCAAGGTCCTCAGCGACACAAAAGGGGACCCCAGCACTGATTCTGCAGCAACAAATGCCTGTTGTGAGTGAGTGTATTTGAGGAGCAGTGACAATAAGGAATGACCCGAGGTTCTTGTTTCCAGCCCTTGTTTCCCAAGGGACTGTCAAGGAGGCAGTCCTGCGTGCAGCCTGACAGAGGTGAGGAGATGAGGATGCTGAAAATCTCTTCCTAGGGGATGCATTTTCCTCTCCTGAAATGCATGATTTGATCATCCACATTTACTGTTGGGACATCTGGATAGTGACTTTTTTTGGATTTTGTTCTGCAAGGTCTATAGAAGTAAATACATCTTTTATTTAGCTGTTACGTGAAGTGGGATTTTTCTAATTTAGGACTGGCAAGGGATTAGGATGTTTTAGTAACCTTGTCTTTGTTTCAACCTTCCACTAGTCCATGACTACTTTCTTTCACAATCAAAGTAGACATGAAAGGGATGTTTTGCTTTGCCCTTTTCATTATCCCGGAGTGCTTCAAGTACCTATTAAAGTTCATGATGGAATTAGGGTGCAGAATGATGGATTTAAAGGTATCATAAAACTCTTCCTGGTAAAGAGTAGTCCCCAAATATATTCCAGTTGTGACCCGACAGAGGCTGCTGGAGGCATCCCAAGCAGCCGTGTATTGGTTGTACAGATCGTTTGAGCTGAGGAAATTCATTTGCATATGGATGCCATGCTAAGGAGGACAGCCCGGATTTCATTACCGCTAATGATGTGTGTGGGAGAAGTGATTTAGTTTATAGCCAGTGCCAGGCATGGCACAATGAGGAAGTACTTAATTCACACAAAGCTCTTTCTTGCTTCTGAGACCTAAAAATCATGGGATTTCAAGCACTTCTGGGAAGCCCAGTGTTAGTGATGTGGTCTCTTCATGACCATGAACAGTGCTGTGATTGAGGTGAGGGATGCAGGGAGAAGGAAGCATCAAGATACAGCACTGATGTCATGAAGGAAAGGAGGAGAAATGACAGGGTTACTGAAGGAGATACGAGAATAAGGAGAAATGAAAAGCAGGAGAGAAGAAAGACCAACTGAGGATGGAAAATCAGCAGGCAGAACTGGCTCTGCAGGAATTGTGGCTGCCAAAGCCGGACATTGGAACTTTGGAGGTGCCAGAATTTTCACTGAGCCTTTGCTACAGTTTGGCCCACTCAAAATGCAGGCAAGCACATTGGGCCTGGGGCAAGATGTCCATCTTCAGAGACAAGAGAAGTCTCTGAGAACTGGAAAGGAGAAAAGGAACCCCAGGATAACATTGGAGCTGGAGTAACTGGGAGATGCTGCACCATCTGAAGGCATCTTCCTATTGCACTGGAGACACATCTGCTTTCCCTGTTCTAATAGGCATTGCCTGAGGCAAGGGGGAGCAGAGAGAGGCCTGGGGACACCTCGGGGGACAAGGGTTACTACGCTCAGGCAACTTCTGGAAGAGCTATTTGAACTGGGATTGGTGTCTTGTGTGGTCTCTCAGCTGTGAGTAATAAATCAGTCAAGCAGAAGAAACCATACAGAGAGAAGGAATGGGTGAGTGAGGAGGAATAAGTCGGAGGGATTAAAGCACACAGTACCGGCATGCTGAAAGAGTGCTTAGAGCATGTAAAGCACCCAGAGTATGTGTCAGGACAGAATTTAAAGGGCTGAGAGGGCTTGGAAGAGGAACCCAATTCTGGGCTTTATGGGTCCCCCAACCCCTCTGGTGTTCTGTGCTTACATGCTATCATTGCATAGGATAGCAAGAAAGAAGGGCTGTGAGCTGCTGCCCATCACTTGGGCATAGGATAGGACTGTGTATCCATCTGCAGCTCACAATACGAAAACCTGCACAAAGATCTTTCAAAAGGAATTACTCCTGCCTTATTCATGGCATAACAGCTGGTTGTAATGAAATTTAACTGTTTGGCTGCAATCACCCACAATGCATGCAATCAAAAGGGTTACGGCCCCGCTCACTCCTGGAGCAGCTGGAAAACCCTGTCTCTGAAAATACGGAATGGTTTTGGGTACCTTGATTTAAGCATTGTTGTTCTGCAATTTTCTAAAGAGAGAAATCAGCTGGTCACTTGGGTGGTGGGAGGTGAAGGCCACTTCAGTAATCCATGAATGGCTGAATACAGTTTGGAGAGTTCCCTGATTTTTGCTTCATCTGAGTTGAACTCAAAGAGTATGGGAGAGTGACATTTAGCTGGGGTTACTGGAAACTAAATGCTGTTTACTTGATATTGCAATTGAATTCAGAACAGATGTAAGATGTCTTTATAAAACAAACCCCAGTTTTAGCATTTGTGTGTCTCTGAAAAAATAGTGAGATTTGCTGAACTGGTGGCCTTTATATGTGGTTTTAGGACAACTGTATGCTCTTGAATATTTTAATATGTGCGAGTCATTTGAATGATCTTCATACCCAGTTGTATGAGGGCAGCATGTGGACTTCACCAGCTAGAAGAAATTAGAAAGATGATTTATCATAAAAGAGGAAGCAGGAATCAGTTAAATTTGGAGAGGATATGAGGAGCAAGGGGGAGATAGAATAATGTGCACAATTTTCTAGATGCAGGAAAAAAGAGAAGGAGAAAAAGAGACTATGCTGATGCCCTATGGTTCACTGTGCCTCTACCAGCAGACTGAATGGTGTTGGGGATGGCTCATTTCTTCCAAGCAACAGCAGCAGGTTTCAAATAATGCTTCATATTTCCCAGATTTAGCAGATGAAGAAAAGGAATCACTTGGGAGGCAAATAGAGCAGATTTGAAAATAGAGAAGAATGTTTTATGGTCAGACTTTCAAATATTTTGTTCTTGCAGATGCCAGAAGACTCTGCACCTGCTTTAATCAGTGTGGGTTGATCTTTCCTGATTATTTCTTTGGGATTCCCATGGTTATTAAGGCAGTAGTTTTATATTACCTAGGACAGTGTGACTGTACAGATTCACACAGAGGGCAACTTACCTGCAAATTCAAACAGCACAGCTTTTAATCAATAAAGAAAGCAAGTGAGAGCTGATGATCCGAGAATAGATATTTATTGAGAATTCTGTGATTCCCCCTCCAAGGTATCTCACCTATCTTTCTGTTACATCTTCTTTGGGGAAGAATATAGGCTCTTCTTTATATTTTGGCAAAAGAAGAACAAAACTCAGGATAATGGAAATTAAAGATTTCTTTATCAAGTAGGTTTAAAATGTACCTGGGAAATCACTGCATTGTGCTCAGCTGAGTGTAAACAAAGATTGCAGCTTGGCAGACTCCGAAAGTACTTGATAAGAAATCTTAAATTGCCCATTAATTGCTGTCTCAGGGAATACAGGTCTTTTATGGTAGGAATCTCTTCAGCAGCTGGGATAAGAGGAGAAGCAATGCCATTACTGTAGAGGGCAGGGTGCACTGTTCTTTTTAATTCCTTTTACCCCTTTGTTGTACTTTTACAGCAGGAAAGTTCTCTTCAGATTTGGAGTACTCCATGGCAAGTTGTATGGTGGAGGCAACTTGCAAGTGAAGCACATATACCAGTTGTCCTGAGAAGGTGGTTCTGCCTCAGAGAAATCTAGGTTATGCATTTCATTTTTGAAATGTCGTTTTTCTTTCATGTCTGTATTTAGGACCTGTTGGCCTCAAAATGTTGTATGGCTGGGCTTGTAAATAGTTGGCTTCTACAGACTCCAGAAGATTCTCCGTTTGCTCTGATCAAGAGAATCTGATTATTTCTTTGACATCCTTGTAGTTCTTGGGCTGGTAGTTATCAGATCACCTACAACAACATCAACGTTAAGCTTTTCTTCACGCAGAGGACAACTCACCAGTGGATTGAAGTTGAATGTCTGTTCAGTTTGGTATCAAGTGGCCAAAAGAAAAACAAAAGAGCCTGGAAATGCTGAGCAGGGCAGTGGTGGGTGTAGAGGCCCTATGGTGTCACCTTGACTGCTTTAGTTTTCATGACAGTTGAATTGGGTTGGAGTGCAATGGGATTGGGTCTCCCTGTATGTTTATACTGACCCTGTTGTAATGCATCTTTTTAAAGATAAGATCTTCTTTAAACATGAGAGGTAAGGAGAGAGGGGAGAGGGCAGGCAAGCACTGTATAAAGCATCTGTAACGTTTAATTATACGAGACAGGGATTTTCCAATATGCCTTGCAACACAAAGAACATTTAGCTATCAGCATCACAGTATATATTTTCTAAATCACAACACCCACACATTTCCTTAGCCAAGTACAAGCTTTCCTTCCATGGCTGCATATCTAAAATTAGCCTGAAGGTCAAATCTGAATAGAAATACCCTTACTATTGAACGTGCTGGGAATGATTGGTGCAATGGGCTCAATTTTCCCATCGAAAACCTTCATTTATTTTTTAAATAACAGTAGCTTTTACAGTCAAAGACCTTGGAGAAAGGCAAAATGAGGCCTGCTGTATAAAGTCAACATCAATATTCTGCTTTCACTGCAAGGCTATTTTTATAGCCAACTATTTTAAATGTAACAAGATGGATAAAGTGAAACCATAGTATAAAAGATGTAGCATGAGGTTTCTGAATAGCAAGGCTGAGCACAGGCATGTGAAAGAAAGGCCTTAACATTTGGAAAATGTTTGTATATGACAGATCTACACAATGAAGAATTCTGAGTTAAGAAACGCATTGCTGAGAAGAAGAGAATAGTTCAGGTCTAAAAATAGTTTTTTAACCTGCAGTTGTATTATGTGAGGACTATGCAGCCTATGCTGCACAAACGCAAAAGCATCGTCTTGCAAGAAACGCATTTATCAGCCACAGTGTTTTATTGAGTGCTTTAATAATACAAGTGTACATCAACTGATCCACAGTCAAAAGTGGCAGGTCCCTAAGAAATTTACAAGCACTTTTTTTTTTTGTTGTTTTTTTAAGTAAATCAAAATACATATTAATTTGTTCAATGCAATAGCCTTTTGTGTGGGAAACAGAAGGCTAGTGATAAACACAGTCTTAGTAATGCACAGTGATTCTTGATTTTAAGCTTTTATACAAAACTTGTTCCCAGTAGCATGCACCCACCATTAAAGACTTCAGTACAAAAAAATAACCCTAAACACTACATTTAAGTAGAAACGAGATATAATTCTGAATTTGTTTGTTTTCCCCAAAACCACATGAAAGAAAAAAAAAAAACAATCCCACACATTAATACAAAGCTTTGTGATAAAGCTCTATACTATTACAGATCCAACATTCTTTGCACTGATAACCAAAATTCCCTGCCTACATTTGAGGGAAACAGCTTTCAAGTTAACAGAACAAAAAACCCCAGAACAAATAAAAATAAAACAAAAAAAAAGAAGGTAAGGACAACCTTTTGTCACAAAATGGTTCAAAATTTAATAAAAAATAAGAATGGAGGGAAGGGCTATTGATGCACTTAGTGAATGTGCTTGCACAGGTCCAGCAAATCCTAGAGTAGGTTCCTATGTGGCGTATCGCTTGGTCCACTGTCTGGCCATTCTGTCATGCTCTGCTCTGTTAGTCATGTACTGAGTGGCAATGCTTCCAACCAGGGGGTCAGCTGAAAAGGAAACACAGAGTGTGAAATACGCATCAGCCTTGGAAGGGATGAAAAAGCTATTTTTAGATCCACATTCATGCAGTTCTCTTAGGTTAAACTGTAAGAACAATGTGCCTACCTATACTAGCCTAATTTTGAAAGCGCGGAAGGAAGATGGGGAGAAGGCGGCTTGCAATTATCTATACATTTCTGTTAAACATATAACTGAAACAATATTCTAAAATTCTACCTCACAAAAAAGAGTAACTTCATTTTGAGCTAAAATTCACTTTCAGGTGATGTAATTTATTTAGGGTATTAGACTCCCACAAGTACCTATATTCTCACCTAAGAAGAGGATGGGCTCTAACTCCATCACCACGTTCAATTTTTTTTAACACTTTTAGTTTTAAGGCATAAAAGAAATATATGGAATTAAGGAAGTAAGTACTATTTTCAAGGCAAAAGAGGTTAATTCCAAACTTCAGAATTGTAATTTAATTTAAGGGATCTTTCTGAGCATTCACATGGCTAGAATGCTGCATGATATGGTCTGAATCTACAAATTACTTCACAAATAATTAATCAAAACCAATCAGTCCCCTAAGAAAAACAAACCAAGTCAAGACATTCCCATAAGTGATTGCATTTAATCAATATTTTTCTCTTTCAGACAATTTTCTCAATTTAAAGCAGACAAAATGTATAGTGATTTTTCCTTTTCTGAGGGGAACCCATACTTTTGATATTTTTGATGCAAAAGTAAATCTTCTGAGATTCACCATGTAAGTCCAGAGGCATTGATACCACTCTTTTTCCCAACTTAGGACAGAGGAATATGACTTCTGAAAACTAGGTAATAATTAGCTTTGTAGTTGACTGAAGACGGTGCCATCGAACAATATGACTTTTAACTTCCCTGGTACAGCTGTAATCTAAGTGTGGTGCTGGTACTATTAACCACTGAAATTCCTTGGGCAAGATGTCAGACCTTCTGCAAAGCAGAGTAAATCTGGGCTTTTTTTGTTTAGTTGTTAATGGTAAGAGTTTATGATGGGAGAAATACGCTGGTTTAGCCAAAAATCAATTGATTTGCATACTGCCAACATCATCAAATACCAGTAAATAATATCTAATAAAAAAATCATCTGGTTTGCATGCATACTCTGGGCTTTCAGGAAGAGCCTGTGATTTGAAAGTCAAGTTTACACTCTCTAAATTAGTAAGGCAAGTTATCACTGCAGTGTACTATGTCCCTGTTGTCTCGGTCCTGTGAATACTTTCTGCATGTTCTTACCTTTAATATTTTAATATAACCAGGGAAGGTCACCGAGGCCTGGACTTGACTATTTTTACATGCATAAGTGTCAACAAAGCATATCTGAGCTAAGATCCATTTTAAAAGTTGTAGACTAGAAAGCGTATCGCGTTTAACTCCTCAGCCAGGGTGGAAAAACTACGTAGGGAATCACCAGAAGGATTTTGTTCTGTGCAAATAGGAGGCTAACAGTATGTGGGCATTTAAGGAGTGAAAAGATATCCATGGCTGGAACAAGATTTCAGAAGCACTGTGGGGTAAATAGGGAACTTGGGCAATAGGAAAAGGTAACACTTTTTTCACAAAAAATTTAGGAAGTAGCCACAGGGAAACCTTGTCATAGTATAACAGTATTTTGGGGATTAGCCTGACAGCACTGCTGCGAATTCCCACATCCTCCTTGGATGCAATACCACTGTGTAAAGAAACATTTTTGCAGACCCATGGAGAAGTGGAGACTAAGAAACTTGAACTTGAAAGGAATCTTTGAAGAAAAATTTGATGAATGTCCTGGTTTTCATACTGTTGGGGAAGGTGGTGTTTGGCCTCTGAGGCATCTGGATGTGATGGGTTGCAAGACCATAATATAATCTGGGAATGTGGCAAGTTTTTCTTGAGGTTTAGTATGCATTTAAAGTGCTGCCTCTAAGATCTTTATAAAAAGCCTTGCATGAGTTAGTGAAAAGTGATGTGCTGTGGTAAAGATTTACCCTGTTCAAAACTGAGAGATTTTTTATGTGCAGGATGAACGTTTCCCTGAAAGCATGTCTTTAACATTGAAAGGCATAAACCATTTTCTTTGATACACTTAAGGGTACTGAGGATCACATCATCATCCCCAGTCCTCGATGATAATTACAATGTTTGGTTTCCTAGTGTGGGTTCCCATGTATGTCCCCTTCTGGGAGCAAGGAAATATTTCAACAACATACATATTTAGAAGGCTTTGGAAGGTACAGGCTCTTCCTCTCACTTCCTCCCAGCATGGGAAGGTGTCTCCTCTCTTTTGGGGTGAGAGAATCAGTGAGAGGAGTTCTTGGTAAGAAGGTGTGTAAATCTGTTGAAACCCAGTAATGTAGAGAACTGGGCTGTTTGTTTATCCATATGTTCAAGCCTTTGTCTTTGCAGTATTTTGTTTGGCAGCTGGGGAAAGAGTGGAGGTGATGGCCTGCAAGACGTCTGAGGTCTACAAAGCTTTTACTGTAGGTGTGTAAATTCCCACAGGGTGACCTGAGAATCAGCTGTCATCTTGGGTGGTTCCCCCAAGCGTCTCCTTCCATCCTTGTCTGCCTTTATGAAGCAGGTCTGTGGAAGCAAACAGAGGTCCTTGCTTGCTGTAGCATGAGTGGGAACATCTGCACTCACAGCCAAGTGAATGCTATTCAGTAATAACAGTAAAGACATTGGTTTTTTTCGATTTGGTTAAAAGTTTTTTAGATACAATACTGAATGAAAGAACAAACCCATAATTTGGCATAGCCACTTGCTTGTTTGAAACCACAGACTGAGGGAATAGAAAAATAGTTACTGACACTCAGGCCCCGCTACTTTTACATCTCTGTCAGAGGGCCTGGAGGTGTGTTGTCATTACATGTAGTTATTTAAGAGGACTTTAAAAAAGACTCTTCAACAGGTGTTTGAAGAGCTGGCTTATTTTAGCGGTTCCTGTGAAGCCATAAAGCCATCAGGAGGCACAACTGCTTTGTTTGGGAAGTCAGGGCAGCTGGTGAGGAGGGAAATTTAAACTTCAGATCAGAGCCACCCAATCAGTGGCACACTGGCCAATTCCATGCATCATGCTGCATTTATGCCACAGGATTTAAGGACAGCATGTGAGCCCCAGAAATGCCATGGTTTCTTCCTGCACCTGTGTGGGCAGCTTCAGCCAGCTGGCAGGCCCAAGGAGACAAATCTCTCAACACTTCATGAGTCATGAGTTACCATTGCTATACAGTTCACTGGGATGGGCCATAAAATAGAGATTACAAGATAAAGTGAAGCACCTTAATTAAAACAATTAAAAAATTTAATTCTCAACATGCACGAGCCTTGGTTATAGCGTTCAAGTCCTGCAAAATATCAAGTATGAGGAAGAAATACAAAATACCAAGTACAAGTTAAAACCAGCAGTTACCATTTACCCCCTAAACTATGTAGCACATGGCTGAGCTCACATGGTTCTCATCTGGGCTGCATTGCTTAAGGGGTATTATGAAATCTCCATTAGTAAGGTCAAATACGTATTTATAAAACAACTGCTGCATAAACTATCCAATTAAGAGATAAAAAGGAATACTGGATCTCAAAATTCATATGGGCATTTTTCCCATGTTTGCATTTCTCTTTACCAGAAAACTACTTCTTATTTTCCATTTGTATACATCTGTGGGTTTATTCTTGATGTTAGAAATTAATTCTGTAACTAGTAAACTGCTTGCCTTTTTTTTCTTTTTTTTTTTTTTTTTAAATAAGTAGCACGATTCATCACTGAATCAGGGTTCATTTTAGAATTTGATTCCAAATGGGACTGTGTCCAGACGACAACAAAACCAGGTGACAGAATATAAAGCTATGCCAGAAATGTGTTATCAGAACAACCTAGTGAAAGAAATTAAAATAAACCCAAAGTAAATTAACAACTTGACAGCACTGGAAGCTGGGAGCAGGTTTGTGGGTGGCAGTGGCCGTGTAGCCACTGTAGGAAATCGTGCTGTGGCACACACTCTCAGCCCACCAGAGAAGCTGCTGCAACTCTTTGGACCTGGAAATTTTTAAGGTTTCATAATTTACTGTTCCTTCCAGTCCCAGACTCTAACTTTTAAAAATCAGCCCTATAATGCCTCTAAAACCTTTAACTTGTGTAAAGAAAAATTATCCCATACTCTGATTGACTCCATGTAAAAGATTAACACAGCAGGAGTTACGGCATCAAATCTCATGTTAGAGGACAGTGGATGAGTAATGGAAATACATAAAAAAAGCATCATATTATATAGGCAAAGACAGAAGCTATGGTTCAGCGATGTAGTTTACATGGAAAATGTCAATCAAAAGAACTAAACTATGAAGAAAAGCTTCTGGATGATTTATAGAAAGACTGCAGCTGCTAAATCCCTCCTCACCTCACCATATGTAATCCTCATGTTATATCAGAATTCATGACATTGCCCTGTATTTATGTGGATTGGAAAGCTGGGTGAGCTGGAGCTTTTCCCTAGCTTGAAAAGGTTGGATGCGCTGCTCTACAACACCTTGTCATCTTCTTTTGCAGCCACTTAGTATGACTGAATAAGGAAGAACATTTGTGTCTCATGTCTGTTGTAAGGCTAATCAAATTTACAGCCCTATTCTAGGAAGTTAATGCTATTGGGGATTTGGATGAGCTGAGGTTTGGTCATTACAAAATTTCAGCTGTGTTTAATGCTAGTTAAACTGCTTTATCATTCAGAAGACAGACTATAATTCTTCTTTAAAACTACTTTTCCCCCAAATAAATGAAAATATATTGCTATACTGTATTTTTCTCAGCTTGTATTTTTATAGCTATTTCTATGTCAGCAAATAGCAATTTCAGAGCAGAATTCATCTCCTGGGCTTTTCAATGCTCTTTTAAAAATACGGCAAACATACTCTAGTGAAATAAAAAAAAGGAGATGGTGTGTTTAACAGCTCGATTTCAATGTGCCTTCTCCGTCAGCCACAC